GATTCCTGAGTGCAGAGCCAGGAGTAACCCCTGAGCATTGCCACGTGTGACCCAAAAAGCAAAAAAATAAATAAAAATTAAAAGTATCATTTTTAAAAAATCTACTTTAAAAAAATAAGTGAAGTGACCCAAAAAGCAAAAAAAGAAAAAAAGTGAAGTCTAGAGATAAAAGTCTTTCAACTTTGAAGGTAATAGAGAAATAAATGTTACTGTCTAGTGCTGAGACTGGCCGAATTTCTCACAGGAGGTGGAGGGATGGTTTTCTTGTTCTTTTCCATGCCACTGTTCTTCGCCATGTGAAGATGAGCATCTCGGAGTGCGTCTAGCATTAAGACATATCCTGATGAGGCTCCCAGACCTAGGGCCTCTACTGGCTGTTCTTAGCCAAACTGGCATGTGGTTCAGTTCCAGGCAGTACTACTATGCAGTACTACTTAGTGGGGGCTGACTCAGTGCACACTAGGCCTGTGTGTTCACTGTGCATTGCTGTGTCCCCCTGCAGAGCTATTTATCATAGCTCATAGGCCCTCAATATAAGCATTCAGCTGAGCAGTGAGGGATCTTTCATACTGAGAGAAAAAATGGATGGCAGAGCTACAGAGCTCTTCAGTCCAGGTACACAGACAAAACTGGATTTTTTGGATTTGGCATTTGGAGGTAGTTATTAATCAGTATAAAACTTCAGGGTGGTAGTGGAGCTTCACTGAGAAAGGTTTAAGTCGTCATACTCCAGCTTGTTTCAGAGACACAGTTTAAGCTGGCAGAGTTGAGGCCATAGGAAGAAACAAGTCAAGAGACGAGCTCTTTTTTGGGGGGTACATACTTGCCCACAGTCAGGGGCTACTCCTCAGTCTGTGCTCTGGACTGACCCTGGCCATGCTTGGGACCATATGTGGTGCTGGGAGTCAAACCAAAATTGGCTGCATTCACACCTGTTATATCTCGTATCCCAGGAGCCACATATTCACCAGAGCTAGTCTTAGGGATGGCCTGAAAGTTCTGTCTTCCTGCGCCCATAAACAGGAATGTCATCTCTCTGGTCCCTGACTCCACTTTTAAATGCAGCACAATACATTGCATAAATCTATACATTCATACATATGTAGGATATGTTTCCTGTAGTCCAGTTAGAGTTCTAAGCACAGTGAACCATGAAATGATCTGAACTATTGCTTTCTGGAAAGGTGATATCTTCATGGGGAGGTTCTCACAAATACCATGTCAGGGGTCGGAGCAATAGTACAGTGGATAGGTCGTTCCCCTGCATCCCATATGTTCCCCCAAGTACCACCAAGAGTAATTCTTGAGTGCAGAGATAGGAATAAGCCCGAAGTATTTCCCTGTGTGGCCTTCAAACCAAACTGAAACAAATATGTCAGCCAAAATTTCCTGAGAACCCACCATGTGCCACCCACTGTCATACACAGTTGGGCTCAAGCTGGCAAGACCAGGATTCAAGAAGCCAGCAGTAACAGGAGCGCCTGTCACAAGGGCTGTTAGGGAGGAAGAGGGTGGAGTGCAGGGGCACAGGGAGTGCCTATGGGCTGGGCTCATCTCTTAGGAAGGTAAGGGGGAGGGCACACTGAAGAAGGTGAGCTGCAAGTTGGGCCTGCATGAGCCGAGAAAGGAAAGAGCAGTGTTTTCTGTTTGTCTATGCTATGCTTAGGGCCACACGGGCGGGCGGTCAGCACCAGCCTCTCCTGCACCGCGGGCTTTGTCTTCCCGCCACCCAGCCCCCGCCCCCCCCCCCCCCCCCCCGGCCTCCGCCGCGCACACCATCCCCGTGTCCAGCCAGGTGATCCCCAGCGCTGTGTCTATCTCCAGCAGCGGCGCCACCAACCTGCAGACCCTCGGGAGCCCCCTGGCCACCGCGCAGCCAGCCTGGTCACCCAGCACTTGCAGGTCCCACGCCACCCCAGCCCCCCTCCGTGGGAGCCTTGTCCCGGCCAGCGGGCGGGTCGGCCCGAACAGAAGCCCAGAGCGCCCCCACCGGGATGCTCCGCGGGGACCTTCCCCACGCCCAACTTCGGCAGGACCGCGACCCTGGGCACCAGCATCCGGCCGGACACAGGCAGCACGGCGGCTGGGTTCTCCCTCCAGGCCAGCTCGGTTGCTTTGGGGGCTGTCGCGCTGGTCCCCCACCATGGGGCTGGCGGCTCAGCCGTGCGACCTTTTGCCTTCAGGGTCTTAGAGACCCGGATGAACTGTGCGGAGAGCGGGCCCAGCGGCGAAATGGCCCCGGACGTGAGCTCCACTGCCCAGGCAGGCGCGTTCATCATGGCATCTGTGCCACCAAGCGTCACCACGGGCCTGGTCACCCCCTTCGCGGGAGGCTGGAGCCAGAGCATCCTGGGCCCGGGCAACCAGGGCTCAGCGTTCGCCTCGGGAGGAGCCGCGTTTGGCGGCCTCGTCATCGCCCCTTTTGCCCCGAACCCCACTGGTCCCGGCCCAGCTCAGCTCAGCACTGGCCTTGGTGCCGGGGTGCCCCCTCCACCCACGCAGGGCGCGCTGGGCAGGGGCCCTTTCCGCTCGGCGGCCCCTTCGTTTTCCATTGGCACCAAATTCAAAACCCCAAAGAGTCGGGAGCAAGGCCACTCCCGGAGGCACCATGGCCACAAGAAATAGTCCGTGCCAGTCACCCGCACCCTGATCGCGACCACCGCACTGCCCAGAGAAGCCTCCGTTTCACATCTCACTCATTGTCCCTCCACAGTTCCAGTCCACGTTAGGATAACCACGGTCTTCACTGGTGAGAGAACAAACCGGGTAGAACCCGCTTGGCCTTCCAGCCCTGTCTGGCAAGGGCGCAGGACTCTCCCTGGGAGCAGACTGGGCGGGCAGCCGGTCACCCAGGCCCTCTGGTCTCTTCGGAAGGAGGAATAGATTCTCTCGAAATCTAACTGGCTTTCATGTGGCCTTCAAAAGTGAGTCCCCTTTGGGGGCCAGCGTGGTTGTACAGAGGTAGGGTGCTTGTCTGGCAAGTGGCCGACCAGGATTTGATTTCTGGCAGCCCAGATGACTCCCCAAGCCGGTACTCCATATGGTCCCCTAAGCCTGCCAGGCTGAGCCAGGAATACCGCCAGGTGTGGCCTCAAAACCAAAAGCGGTCCCCTGGGAAAGGCCAGTTCCCCATTCCTTGTTGCTTTCTTCTTTGATGATTTCTTTGGTGTCACTTGGTCTTTTTGTTTGTTTTTTGTTTGTTTGTTTTTGCTTTTTTGGGGGACGGTCACACCCGGCGGTGCTCAGGGGTTACTCCTGGAGGTGCTTGGGGGACCATATGGGAAGATGGGATTAGAACCCGGATCAGCCGCGTGCAAGGCAATGCCCTATCCACTGTGCTATTGCTCCAGCCCCGGTGTCACTTGGTCTTAACCCAGCTTGTCTTTGAGGACCAATGCAGTCCTTTGCGGGCACCCACAGACGTTGCTCCCAATGCGCCAACTCCTCACATCGGGTTTTTGGCGTCTTTCCCGCAAACATATTTGAACCCCACCTTTCACTTTACCGATTAAATCCCTGGCAGACTGGCAGGCCTGTAATTAGCCCCGGCCCCCAGGTCTGGCCATTTCCCCTCTCCCCCAGCTTGGCTGAGAGGTCAGCCATACCTGCTGGCCCTGGCTAGTTCGCCATTCACCAGCGAGTTCACCCAGACCCTTGTTCTCTTCTCTTGGCTGCGGGTTGTGTTTCATGCTTCACACAGAGTGTGCCGGAGTTCTGACTACCGCGAGGTTGAAAAGGTCAAGGTTTCTTGACCCAGCCAGTTGTGAGGGCAGCACCCCGAACAGAGGCCAGGACTGACCCTTGGGACTGCAAGTGGAATTCTGTCTTAAACTGTTAATGTGAGACCAGAGTATTTCAGACGGGGGAACTTCACAGCAGGTGGGAGAGGAGGTTTTGGGGGGCCGGGAGCTCGCAGGAGCTGCTGGTTTACCATAATTCAGGCTCCTTCTAATGCAAGCCAGGCTCAGGGAGGGAAGCAAACTCACTCTTCACCTTTCCTTTTAAGCTGGACCTTGTAAAACCACACACTCCGTTCAGTCTCTTCCAGAGGGGGTACAAAGGCCAAAGTACTTCTTGGATCTCCAAACAAAAAAAAGAGAGAGAAGATACCTAAGCTGCCCTCTGCATTCTATATTCACTATATTTAGGGGAGGCCTAAGGCCAAACTCTGACATCTTCCTAAGCACATGTCATCAGATGGGGAAAAAGACAAGAATGACTGTCACTTCTTCAAGGTCCTGTTTTCTGAATATCTGGGGAGAAACCTAATAGGAAAAAGTAACCAGAAACTGGTTGATGAAAATAAATTGCTAAAGTAGGTATGATACAGGAATTACTATTAAACTCATATGGATGCAAAGACATATTTAGGAATTTACCATCGGCCACCCAATTCATTCACAATTGCAACTCCAGTGGCTGCAGAGTGAATGCTCGCTTACACTTCCTCATAGAAAATCAAAGAATTCTAACCCAGGTATTTCTGACCCTCGGTATCCAGGATGCTTAACTTTTTAGGACATTCCTCACATTCTTACTTTGGACAACCTGGCAGGCTACCAAATGTCACCTACCCACACGGCAGAGTCTGGCAAACTCCCCGTGGCGTACCCAATATGCCAAATACCAGTAACATTGATGGGTATCATTCTCCTAACCCTGAAAGAGCCTTGAATATGGCACTCTTTGAAATCTCAGGGCTAGGATGAAGGAGACGTTACTGGTGCCTGCTCGAGGCAATCAAAGAACAACAGAATGATCGTGATCATGATGCTATGCTTTATGGTGAGCTCATTTTGGCCAAGGGTGACATTAGACTTAAAAAAATCTGTCTTCTACTAGTGTTCCTTAAGCTAGGCAAATGTTTGTTTGCATGGTGATAATCAGATTGTCCTTAGGATATATCCTTGTGTATTGCATATTGCTAGTATCTTCAAATCACCATGTCTTTGAGATAAACTTTATTGACAGTAGGTGTTTTACTTTTGTTTATTTTGCAGATGTTCGAACACAGGCCATGTACCAAATGATGGATCAAGGCTTTGTGGGACTTATTTTTTCCTGCTTCATAGAAGATAAAAACACAAAGGTATTGTGCGTGTGCACGTGTGAGTGTGTGTGTGTGTGTGTGTGTGTTGTGCACGTGCATACGGGATAGAGAAAAATCTGGCCAGGGAGATGGCTCAAAGGGAACACAGTCCTGGGTTTCCTCTCTGGTACCACATGATCCTTGAGCACTGCCAGGAGTGACCCCATACCCCAGCAGTGCACCAAGGGTACACTCTGAGTATGGCCTTCAAACCAGAAAAAAATAGAGAAAACAGAGGAAAATTCGGTAATTTTCCTAGATTGGCTATGGTCGGTGTTAGTGGGAAGGTCATAGCACCAGGAAATGAGGATTGTGAGGGAGCAAGGTTTCGTGGAGAAAAACATGCAAGGCTGAGGAAACAGCCTGTGCAGAGACCCTGGGTTGCATGCAGCATGTTGAGGGAACACTAGAAGTCAGTCTGTCTCCAGCAGAGGGAGAAAGTCTGTGAACACGTGTCTGCACTGCAGCCCCCATTATTCTCATTTCGTGTTCAGTTGGCACCTTTTCCCTCTTTTTTAAAATTTTTTAAAAATTTTTATTTTTATAAAGTTGTTTGCAATAGTTCATTACAAATAATGTTCAAACACCAATTCCACCATGATCACCTTTCCACCACCATAAGAGGAAAGTGTGTGAAGGTTGTTGTATTTCACCCTGGAGCCATCTAAGCCCTTATGTAAGAGATTACAAGCATGTATATTAAAACCAGACAAATGTGTACTACTTTTGGTACATCAATGTAAGAGTATGTGCGACCGCAAATGTGGCTGTGTGCTCCAGGATGTTCTGTGTTGCTCTCTTCCAGGAGCTTTATTTCATAGTCTCTAGGTCTTGGCCATTGATGAGATTATATGGCTCTGGGGGCAGTTTGTGGGTGTGACTGCCAAGCTACTGGAAAACTGGGGAGCTGGGAAGAGGAGGCCCAGTCTCGTTCGGAGCGGGCTTAGAGATCTCAGTCACGGGTCTGGTGTACCTGGGTTTTCCTGCAGGTTCCCCTGTAGGTGAGGCTCGTCCAAACATGTGGAGAGTGGCCTTGAGCATGGCTGCAGTTGGGCTCTGGAGGTTTTTGGCTGCCGAGGTGCTGCTTGGGGCAGGGAGGGAAACTCTGCTCACCTCCCTCTGAGGTACCCCAGTGAAGATAGCCTGGTGCAGGGTCAGAACGTCTGCACTTTCCCTCTTGCATGTGCCCTGAGTTTGGAAAGACAATTAGAGATCAGATTGCATAGGGCAGTGGCTTGTACTCTGCAGTGAGAAGTCACTGAGGGCGAATTCCTGTCATAATGGCCTCTCTCTGGCTACTGTGTTGACAGTGCACTGTGGAGAAGGGGTACGTGGAATTCATAGCATCCAGGAAAGAGAGGAATATGTTGTAGTGTAGGCAGAGATTGGGCCGTGCTTGTAAGGGTAAAGGCAATATAAGCACCCTCGGCACTGCCAGTGCAGCCCAATTGAGAAAAAGTGTAACAGGAGTGAGAAATGGTCAGATTCTACTTACACTTTATGTCTAATACTAGTAATACACTGCTAGTTTCCACCTAAGATTTGCACCAGCAAACTAGGTGTTTTACATAAATATGATGATAGTTATTCATGTTTTATGTTAGTGAGCTAAAGCCTGAAGAAGTTACAGATCAGCTGTGTACACAAGCCAGTCTTGTCATTCTCTATTTAGTATGCTCTATTTGCGTTTAACATTCACATCAAGAGGTTTTACTATGTGTCTGTTGGTTCAAATTTTCAAAAGAAAATTACTGTTTCGACACTGTAAGTAAAGTAAAGGCCCTCCCGTTGATCGTCGATTTGCTCGAGCGGGCCTAGTAATGTCTCCATTGGAGACTTTGTTGTTACTGTGTCTGGCATATCGAATACTCTCGGTAGCTTGCCGGGCTCTCCGAGAGGGGCGGAGGAATCGAACTCAGGTCGGCCATGTTGGCCGCATGTAAGGCGAACGCCCTACCGCTGTGCTATCACTCCAGCCCTGTTTCGACACTGTAAGTATAAAATTTGCCAAGATTTCCACAGTGACGAGACACACAGGGCCTCACAGGATGGGGGTGGAGCCATCCCTTTCCTCCCCGCCCCAACGAGACCCCAAGTCGCCACCCATGAACGGCCTCCTGGCTCCTGATCAAGCTGGTTAACGACCATAATCCCAGAGACTCAGAAACAAATCTTGGAACCCAGCAGCTTTTGGCAGAAATGCGTCCGGTCCCCGCAGTAGGTTAAAGGTGCCGGGCCAACCCACGTGGGAATAGGTTTCGTGCCTTGGCCTGTTCCCCCAGGTGGCCGCCATCCTCCAGAGGCCATTGGACAGTCAGGTTTGGGCCTGCAGTGATGAGACACGTGGGGCCTCACAAGATGTGGGTGGAACCGGCCCTTTCCTCTCCGCCCCAAAAAGACCCCATGATCCCAGAGACTTAGGAACAAATCTCAGAACCCAGTAGGTTTTGGCAGAAATCCCTCCAGATTTAATTGTTAAAATTGTGGAATTCCAAAACCGTGTGGCCACTACTGTGGCCACGCAACATCGTATGTTATTCATAATCAGCAATAGAAAACAAATTGTCTACAGTTGCCCTTTCAGCAGATTTGAGTATTGGGGTAAAATCCCAAATAATAATGGTGGGTCTGGTGTCAAAATATTGAATGTAATCAAAGTAGAAAGAGTAATGTGGAAATCATCTGCCCCACAGGTAGTGGAAAGGTGTGGGATGGGGGGTATACTGGGATTTTTGGTGGTGGAAAATGGGCACTGGTGAAGAGATGGGTTATTCATCATTGTATGATGGAAACTTAGCCCCAAAAGCTTTGTAACTGCTCTCACAGTGATTCAATAAATAAATTTATAAAAAGGAAAAAAAAGTAAGGCGGAGTTCATGCCCAATTCAATCAGCTTAATCAATGGCTGAATAAATAGCAATACTCCTACATTAAAAAATTTTTTTAAAGTAAAATTTACCAAGATTAACAGTAGCACCATAGTTTGAATCTACTAATGATAGCCTTAGATTTATGTGATTGATTCATATTTTTATAGTCACCCTTTTTTGTAAGAAACTTTCCAGTTCATCATCTCAAACTTTGTACTTAATTTGAAATATAGTCAATAGATTCTATCCTAAATCTATTTATTGTCATTAGAGTTGGAATGCACTGACCCTGGCTTTTTTGAGTCCCATGTTTGTGGGCGATGACCTGTGGTCACGTGGGCAGTTACATACTGGCCGACTATCTGACCCCTCTGATTGGCACTAAGTTAGGCACATTTCTCTCAGCCATCTACTTCAGAGAGACCATTGAGTTCTAGGTTAGAGTCTAGGAAATACCTTTCTGAATATTAATACTTCTTCTTGTAACCTTTTCCTACCTTTTTCATTCTTATTTATAGACTGGCCGGGTACTCTACACTTGCTTTCAATCCATACAGGCCCAGAAGAACTCAGAGTAAGTATAGCCAAGAAGTTTGTATATATTTCTGGGCTAAAACACGGTTTAGGGAATTGATTTTTTGTTTCCTTTGATTTCTTTAGCTGGTATGATACTATGAATTCTAGGTTGATTTAAACCATCAAACTCACTTCCACGAGCACCAAGAACATATTAATTATTTCACATATTGGGGATTTTAGAAAGTTCAGATCACAGAAATAGTCTGTTCTTTGCGATTGTATCTCCACAGTCTGTGTCTCATTTTCTGTCCTACAGTTATCCTTTCTTTTTCTGGGGTAAACAAACTATTAAACAAAGACTGACTATGCAGAGTATATAGACTTCTATACACTCTTGTCTTGGCTGTGCAATAAACTGGACTTTGGAATTACAGTGTCTCACTTAAGTTTGGTTGTGTTGGCTAGTATTTTCATATAAGTTTAATTCAACCTTAAGTAGAAAATCTTAATATCTGTTATGTACCAAGCACCATGATAAGTACTTTGAATACAGATTTTGATAAAAGCCAAGTTCATTGTCTAAATGGGAGGTAGAAAGAGGCAATGGCTCTGAGTTTTTTCTTATAATACTTGTCAATTTGGCTTAAATAGCAGTATACCTCACCTTCTATAGTTAACAGTTTATCTTGGAAATAGTTCTTTATTACTACCAAGGGCTCTCATCTTTTTAATAACTGCATGTTATTCTAGTATTTGTATATATCACATTTAATCAGATGTATAGTAGTAAGATATAAGTCTTTATAATTTCAAACAATGCTATTTAAATCACATATATAGTGTGGCAGCATTCCTAAAAATCCTAGGGCCTACTGGTGATTTAGATATGTCCAGTGTATTACTGGAATGTGTGGAACTCAGGGATGATCCAGGTTGTTTGCCAGGGGACCAAGCAAGCACAGTTTTGAAAGGAAGGTGCACTCTATGATGTTCTCACAATGATGGAAGTGACTAATGTTGCATTTCATAGAACGTATTGACACCTCAGTGTATATATCACATTCTGTCTACTCTTTGTTGGAGACTTGGGTTGTGTTGTAAGTGTTGCTGCATGATCTTGAATGTTCAGTTATCTTGTTGAGGATCCTGTTTTCAACTCTTGTGGATATGTATATCGAAGTGAGATTGCTTGGTCATATGCGAGTGTTACTTGGTTTGTTTTGAGAACTCTGCATACTTATTTTTCTGTATCTGCTGCACCATTCTATATCTGTACCAATGTTTTCCAAGGCTTCCGGGTTTTTCACACTCTGCGAGCACTTATCTTTTTTTATATTGGCCATCCCAATAGTTTGAGGTAATATCACATTGTCATTTTTGTTTGCCTTCTATGGTCATGTTTTACATCATTTCATGTACTGGAGAAGTGTCTATTCAAGCCCTTTCCCCATTTTGATTGAATTCCCTGTTATCCTCCCTGTTGCATTTCAGTACTTTTTGATATATTTTGATATTAATTATTTATTGATATATATTTTTGAATATTTTGATTGCTATTACTAATATATGTGGCTAGTGCTTTCAGAAAAAATTCTGATATTTTTTCCTATCACAAGGTTATTCGTATGTACTAGTTTTTAATTGTTTTTATTGTTTTAATTAACACACTGAGATTTATACGCTGCACATGGAATTGATTTTATGTATAGTTTGAAGGTTCTTTTTTTAAATACTAATTTCCAGTGAGTTGAAATTGTTTGGAAAGAGACTTTTTCTGTGACATTAATCAGGCTTTTATATGTTGATGTGTTTCTGGATTCTCTGCTTTGTTTCATTGACCATTGGCTGCTCTTTAGCTATCTCTTAATTTTGGCTGCATCTCTTTACTGAAGGTCTTGACATTTGGTAATGGGAACCCTCCTGCTCTGTGCATTAGGAATGTTACCTTGGTGCTCTCTTTTTTATTTTATTATTAATTTTTGTTTTTTTGCCACATAATGTTCAGGACTTACTCCTGCTCTGTACTCAGGGATTGCTCCCTGTAGTTCTTGGGAGAGCACATGTGGTGCCAGGGATTGAACCCAGGCTGGCCATGGTTCAGTCTGCTGTACTATCTGCTACCTGCTGTACTATCACTCTGGTCCTTAGAAGTCTTTTTTCCTTAGTTTTTGGGCCATATACTCAAGTAGTCCTGGCTCTGTGCTCAGAGGACCATATGGGGTACTGGGAATTGAATCTGGGTTGACTGCATGCAAGAGCCCTACCTACCGTACTATCCAGCCTTGGCTCTTCTGTTTTTAACCATTTACACTGAGGTACCAGGATCTGCAGGACTATTAATTATACTTTAAGGTAAAAGGTAAAGGTAAAGGCCCTCCCGTTGATCGTCAATTTGCTCGAGCAGGCCCAGTAACGTCTCCATTGGAGACTTTGTTGTTACTGTGTCTGGCATATCGACTACGTCACGGGGAGCTTGCCAGGCTCTGCCGTGCGGGCGAGATACTCTCGGTAGCTTGCCGGGCTCTCCGAGAGGGGCGGAGGAATCGAACTCTGGTCGGCCATGTTGGCTGCGTGCAAGGCAAACGCCCTACTGCTGTGCTATGTGTCCACAAATGGGTCTCATTCCCCTGACCCTGAAAAAGCCTCCGATACGGCAGCATTGGGAAAGACGAATAAGGCGAGGCTGCTAAAATCTCAGGGCTGGGATGAATGGAAACATTACTGGAGCCCACTCGAGTAAATCAATGACCAATGGGATGGCAGTGACAGTGATGATGATGACAGTGCGCACATCATTCTAACACTACACCTATGACCTGCTTCCCTCCAACAGTACCCCAGGGGCTCCTCACAGCCCCTCTACCCCCATGTAAACTTAGTCCCATAGACAAAAATCTCCAGTACCATTCACTTTGGATGTTTGTTGTTCCTTTACCATTTTTATTTCTATCACACATGTGTCAGAGTTCTTTAATTTATTGTGGAGGTAGTGACACCTATATACACATAGATGATTAAAGCTAAACTCTTGAACTTTTGTAAAATTGTAAGTTAATGATAAACAGGGAAAAAAATTCCAAAAAAACATTATCTTTCTCTTTTGTAGGTACATAAATAGGTGGTATGAATAATTCAATGCTAACACATTTTAAAATTAACATGACATAGATAAATCCTACAAATATATAGTTTACTAAATAAATGAGGAGAATTAAGAATTTTTAATTTAAACATTTTTAAAAGTTTTTGGCCACACCCAGTGGTTATCAGGCCTTACCACTGGCTCTGTACTCAGAGAATACTTCTGACAGGCTCAGAGAATCATATCCCCATATGCTGGAGGTAGAACCTAGGTCAGCTACATACAACGCAAATGCCCCCCAACTGTACTCTCGCTCTGACCCTGTCAAATTAAGAACATTTTAAAGGAAATCTGAATAGGGCTATAAAAGTATAGAAGTGTGTTTTGTCCTAAGAAGGGAATATTGGCTTTATGATAGAAAATATATTATATATAATGCTTTAGTGTCTACATTAATAAGTAAAATATAAGAAAATCTCTATAGGTTTAACAAAATTCATTTGAATAAACATGGAACATTCAATAAATATGAAATGTTAATTTATATTGGAGAAGTATAAATCCCTTATCATGCTACAAATAAACAGACCTTTCTTTCTTTTATTATTAGTGAAACACCATGAGGTACAGTTGTAGATTTTGTGCTTGGGTTTCGATTATACAATGATCAAATACCCATCCCTCCACCAGTGCCCATTTTCCACCACCATGGATAATATCCCCCCACCCCCATCCCCTCATCCCCCCCTGTCTCTGTGGCAGAGCAATCCCCTGTGTTCTCTCTCTCCTTTTGGGTGTTGTGGTCTGCAAAAGAGGCATTGAGTGGCAAACATGTTCAGTCCATAGTCTACTTTCGACATGCATCTCCCCTCCTGGGAGGATCCTCCAAATACCCTTTATTTGGTGCTCCCTTCTCTATCTGAGCTGCCCTTTCCCCTAGAATGCCCGGCTGGCCTCTAAGCTATGGAGTAATCCTCCTGGTGCTGATCTCAGCTATTCTTGGGTATTAATCTCATATTTAAACAGACCTTTCTTAGTCTAGTAGAGGGCAGTCCGATGCACCATGAGTGAATGCCATACTCGATGGCAAGTGCTAATGAGTTTGTCGGTTAAAGAAGCTCCTTTAATGCTTGCAAAACTGGTTTCAAGGGTATGAGTTCCCTAGGCTATTGCTTGTCCATGAAGCTGTGTATCCTCTGAATGGTAATCTAGCTGGGTAGAGCACTCTTTGGTGAGGTGCTCATTTTATTGAGGTGGTTTTTATTTCTTCTATCATCTCCCATAGCATTCTCTTCTGACTCATAGTCTCATTTGATATATCTCCTTGAAAATCTGGGCTTTCCTTTGTTCCTTCTTTGATCTTGCTGCTTTCAATATTCTATTTCTGGCTTTGGCTTTTGTTATTCTGATTACGTGTCTTGGATTTTTTCTGTTTGGGGGACCTTTTGAGCCTCTTTGATCAGGGTGTCTGCAGTCCCCAACTCTGATTTCTTTAATTAGTGGGTGTTTTGGTCAAATGTGCTTTCTTATTCTTCAGGGACTCTGCCGATTCTTATATTGTTCCTGTTGAACTCAGTCTATACTTCTCTGATATGCTCTTCAGTTTTTTCAACTTTGTCCTTCTGTTTTCTAAAGGTTTCCTGTAAAACCTTTCTCATTTCCTCATCTGTTTGTTATTCTACTGCTCAAATCTTCTATTGTATTTTTATCTCTCCTACCATACTCTTCATATCTGTCACTTCTGATTGTAGTTTTCTCATTTCTTCTGTCGTGCTCGTGCTTTGCTGACTACTGTGCCATTGTTCCGTGGAGTGCATTCAACATACTCATCGCGACCGCACTGGCTGCTACTGGTTGACCTTCCACGTTGTTATTATCCCTCATTGCCCATGGTGGGCTTCTGTGCTGAGGGTGACTCTTTAAAGTTTTCCCCTCTGGGAGATTGATTAGACTGGCTTTGACTTTTTGCTTCC